TTTTTCTCTGCAATTTTGTTAGTACTTTGAAATTGATTTTATGTGCAGTAAGGAGGAGAATCTCAGCCTTAAATGGAACAGAACTTTTGGAGAGAATAAGCATTTCAGAACACTTGAGATGGTCTAAAAGTTGCCTGACAAGTACAAGAGTGTAGGGAAGAGTTCACCAAGTGGGATATAGGATAAGAGTATTTGTGTTGTGTGAACTAATTCCCATGGACTTGGCCAAATAATGGAAAAAGGTCCATCTTGGAGTTGCAACTAAGGGAGCTCAGCAAGGATGAAGCTTTACCACTGGGGAGTGAAGGGATAGTGTGAAAAGGATAGATATAAAATGTAAGGGGTCTCACTGCCAAAGATCTCCCATGCAATTCACAGCCTCCAAAAACAAGGAGAGAACATCTACAGACTTGGGACATAGAGTGGTGTGAAGGAAGCAAGTACAATTTCCTGTCAAAAACTAACATGAAATCCTGGTTCGGCTTGCAACTCGGGTCTGCCTGAGACTGCACATAGGAGATTGCCCATCTCCTATGTAATACAACTGCTTGCTGGATTGATTCAAGCTGCCAAGAGTTCCCTTGTCACCACTGAAAGATTCTGTGTTGGGTATAGCCTCAAAAGCAGCTGAGGGATCACTTTGTTCTGGCAGTGAATTTAATATCCGGTCTTCTCATCCTTGCTGTCTTGGGGCTGGCTGGCTTTGTTCATGGGAATAGCATGACTATACATAGTGAATTGCTATCAGGGAAGACCCTTGGCACAACGGACTGGAATGTATAGTTTTTGGTGGCTTGTTTTTCCGATTTTCAGCTTCCCTGGTCAAACCCCAAGGGAGCTCTGGTGGTCTAGCAGCAAGAAGCTTCACTGCAATCCCAGAGGTACTTCGTTCAAATCCACCAGATACTCTGCTGGAGAAGGAGGGGCAATCTACTACTGTACCAGTCTGATAGGATTTGACGGTACACACACAAAAAAGTCATACCCCAAATGTCCTGTATGAAAAGTGAATCTTCCACAGTGAAAGGGGCACTTTCAAAGTGGCTGCTGATTATACTATACCGTGGTGGCAAAATAGTTTAACGCTCAGCTGCTAATCAAAAGGTAGACAAAAATTTCACCAGCGGCAATCTGCTATAAAAAGAACAAGGTCTGTTACAGAGAAGGGGGGAGGGGGAGGAGGAGAGGGGAAGATATAATGGCAGCATCGAGTGTTGTCAATTCCATCCTCAGAACTGCATAGACTGAGCAGTATGCCAGTTTTTATCTCGGCTGAAGCAGTTGGTAAATTCAAACCAGCCATTAGGTTACATCAGTATTCTTTTTTTTTTTTTTTTTTTAGTACAGTGGCATTCCCATTTTTAATCTTACCAAAACCAATCCAACAGCTAGGTCCTTACATATTTCCGCCCCCCCTCACCCCCCACCCCAGGCCAAGGCAGCAGCAAAAAACATCAATAGAGCGTGTGAAAATACGATGACGGTGTGTGCAGTGTAGTGTTTCCAGATGTCTCTGTCTTCTGTCTTCTTATGGTAGAAGCCGTTTCTTTCCCCAAATTCCACACACACACCCCTCCCCCTAACCCCCAAGTCCAGGTGTTGGGCTTCCAC